ATCACACTCAGCTAGTTAATACACTGAGCTAGTTAATACAACCTAGTTAGAAAAATGTGTCGATGTCAACTGGTAGTCCAATGCTATCCTTTTTTAATTAAGAAAAGCCGCGGCTGCTAATAATGGGCGTGTCCTCCCTCCACTCTTCTGACAGACAGCAGACACCATCAGCAGCCCCGTTCTCTCACGGCCCAAGTAGAGGCACTTTTAGAAAGCTTGTGCTTGTATCTTTCCTGTGCACTTAATGCCTAGGGTTTCCATTCTGCCTTCTCCCAGCTTCGACCATGAGAATAAGCCCTTACAAAAGAAAGGTAAGAGCTCATTAAAGCAACAGTCATGCCTACTGTCAGTCATCCTAAGGAAAAATGCACAAACTGGAAGAAGTATTCTACTTTGCCTGGAACCAAGATGAGAACGCTGGAGATTTAGACATCTGCTTCAATAACTTCCTTTTTATCACAGTAACCAACCCAAATAAGCAGGTCTCCCTATGCTGGGTTTCCTGTGTAACACTCTTGATTAGGTAAAAACTTGGACATAGTCTAAGGAAGATTTAGATAAAATGATCCTTGATGATAAAAACAAATTAAGAAGTCATCCTACAACAAGCAGCCTTAAACTTGCCACATGAACCAAGTGAAACAGAGCATGAGCAACCCACCATGGGGCACTGAGCTCTAGCACACTGTGTCCTCTCGTCCGCTGTCCACGGTCATGGGAAAGATCACACAGACACCAAAGCACAAACCTAATGACGTCATTCTTGGACATCTTAAAGGCTCCCCTGCCTCTGAAGAAAAGCAAGTCCACACTCCTGGGCCATGCAGAAGTTCCTACTGAGGGCTGAAGGTACCGAAGGCTTAGAGGGATGAAGCCTTGGAAAGCCTCTCTCGGAAAGCCACTGCTGAGCCAGTCAGGCAGGGGAGGGCAGGAGTGTGCTGGCAGAAGGAGTGCACTACTGGGCAAACCCAATGCAGACAGTACAGAACCCACAACACCCGGGAGCAGACAGCAAGCCACGGACACCGAACCCACTAAGACCATCAGGAACTCTAGGGAACACGCTCAGCCAGGACCCTCGCAAAGCAACCTCCTGGCTTCTCCCTTTAAATTCAGGTAATTTAAGAGACGGTATTTTTTTTCTCTTATTTTTAAGTAATTCCACAAATAATACATGTGTTGCTTGTTTTAAAAATCCTACAACTAAGAATAAAATTATCTGGTCTCTTCAACACCCTGACTCCCCAAAACAACACTGTCAGGTATGTGCTTTCTGAACTTTTAACTAAATTTACACTCATAAATACGCACCCACAAAAATATAGAGCATCGCTTAATGTTCATGGTCTTCCATAAAAACGGCACACTTCCCCTTCTTTATTTTATTAGACAGTGTTCTGGAAATCTACCCATGTATGTCCAAATACATCTAAATTAATCTTTGACATCCTGGCATACTTTTGCCTCAATTATTTGAGACATTCCCCTATACTGATTACTTAGGTAATGAGGATGTATTGTTCACATCGCTACTCAGGAGTTTGGCAACCTAGACACTGATGAATAATTCTGAGAGGCACATGCACACATCTCCAGAATCCAGAAGCATTGCGTCTTCCTGGTGACAGTCGTTTGTTTGCAGTTTGATTCTTTTTGTGAAATGGAACCAGACTGATAATGCAGAGAAATCCTCAGTTTTGTATTCCAAATGCAGCAAGAGAAAATATACTTCTCAAAATGTCGGAATCCCCTCTGATATTCTAACTGCATTTCTACCTAATAGCCCTAGAAATTTTGTGTATCTATTTTCCATTGAGCTTGGGGCCTTTGAGTGAAGAATCTAGGTACCTGCTCAAACCACATCACCCATTTGAGTCTAGACACCTGGACTTCCTTACATAAGCAGCGTTTTTCTTTCCTGAAGGTGTTTAGTAACCTCTGTATTTGACATCTTACAACACTGGTAAGAAAATACAGTCCGGCACAGCAGGTTAGGCCACCGCCTACAATGCCGGCATGCCACAGAGTCCTGGTTCATGTTCCAGCTACTCCACTCCTCATACATCCCCCAGCTAACGTGCAGGGAAAGTAGGGGAAGATGGCCCAAGTGCTTCCCATGTGAGATGCAGCACCTGGCTCTCATCTTTGGCCCAGCCCAGCCCCTGGCCTTTGCAGCTAAGGGGGGAATGAACCAGTGGACGGAAGGTATCTTTCTCACTCTCCCTTTTACTTTCAAATAAATCAGAAAGAAAGGAAGCAAGGAAGGGAGGAACAGAGGGAGGGAGAAGGAAGGAAAAAGAAAAGAGGAAGGAAGGGAGGAAGGAAAGAAAGAGAAAGAGAGAAAGAGAGAGAGAGAGAGAGAGAGAACAATCTTGGGAACCCCCAAGGAAACACCACGTTGATCCCATCCATCCAAGATGGTCTGTGACACAATTAAAGATACCAGTAAATCTTTCCACCGACTTCTCAACTACACTAGAGTAAAATTTCCATACCTCCACAACCTGGTTAGCTGCTTCTAAACGTGCTGTGAGCTGGTGGTGGTCAAGCACACAAGCGTGAAACACATCCTTTTTGTGGGCTCAGTCACTTCCTCTGTACAGTAAACATGACTCAGAAAGGCCACGTTAACCCCATGAGTGATCTAAGGAGGCAGACACACGAACTTCTGTGTTCATCTGCATGTACTTCTCAGACTGAATTTTCATCACAGAGCGTACCTTCCTTCCTGTGTTCTTTGTTCTGACCAAATCTCTAAAACTCCTAATTTGGCAAATAGACTACTAATTCACATACACTAATCAACTGACAAATAAGACTGGGGCTGTGTGTGTGCTTCCTTATGTGTCTGGGGAGAAGGGGAATCTGAGGCAGGCTACACCCAAGGAGGGCACCATGGGCCACGGCCACCTGTGGCACCTCTGACCTGGTGGGGCTCTGGCGAACAGATGACCAGGAGCAGCTCTGTGCAGCTGGACGTAAAAAGGACCACAAGTGACAGCCACGTGCATACTCTTATACTTCGAACAGGTTTGTTAAAAACCGAAAAAGAAGGTGAAATTAATTTTAGTGATACACTTTTTACCTGGTGTTATCAAAAGTATTTTCATTTCAATGTGTAACCAAAGTTTGCAAATTACTAATGATGTTTTATATTCTTTGGTTCACTGGATTTCTTGAAAATCTAATGTGGATCTCTTATACATAGCATTTCTTAACTAAATTAGTCATATTTTAAGTGCTCAAATATCTTTATATAGGTAGTGGCTACATGTTAAACAGTGCAGATATAGAAGAAAAGGGTGGGGCTCTGGGAGTAATGGACACCTAGGCTTCAATTCCAGTTCTACAGCTCCGTGCGACCCCCCAGCCAGTCATGTAAACTCTGAAATCTCTGACATCCTTTATCAGTAAAATAGGGATCTATTAAAGTTGTAAAATAAACCAGCCTTGCAGATTTCATAAAAGAATCAGAACTAATACAGCTCACTTCAAAAAACTCACGGAAAATGAGATTAAATTTACCTTGATGTAAAAAATTTTGAAATCCATACATTTCCCATGAACATTATGAAGTATGTGTAACACACACTTTTACACTTATACTTGTCTATGTAATGTTCCTTGCCACACTGTGTCCCCCAACATATAGCAGAACCCAATAAAATCATCAGCATTCTTATCACAAAGATATACACTGGAGAAAAAGGACCACTGTAAAAAGGCTCAGATTCAAAACTGTCAGAAGTAAAGCAAGACAAAGTGAAACAAGAATTTGAAATAAGATTATCAAAATATTTTCCCAATGAAACAATCATATCTATGCAAAATAAAAAACTATTTTTCAAAATTATGAATAATGACAAAATACAACACTTGAAACTAGGGATATGGTGTGTGTGTGTGTGTGTGTACGTGTTTAAAAAAAAAAAAAAAGTCAATTTGCTTTCCTGGTTCCTGTTGCCACAATGAAATACCTTTCCATTTGGAAGAGGGAAGTGTCTGGAAAGTAGGCTGGAAGGTTACCGGGCTGCACAGAAGTGGCATTTGGGGGGCCAGCGCCATAGCACAGTAGGTTAATCCCCGATCTGCAGAGCCAGCATCCCATGTGGGCGCCGGTTTGAGCCCTGGCTGCTCCTCTTCGAATCCAGCTCTCTGCTGTGGCCTGGGAAGGCAGTGGAGGATGGCCCAAGTGCTTGGGCCCCTGCACCTGCATGGAAGACCAGGAGGAAGCATCTGGCTCCTGGCTTTGGATCGCCACAGCTCCAGCTGTTGGGACCATTTGGGGAGTGAACCAACAGAAGGAAAGAACTTTCTCTCTGTCTCTCCCTCTCACTGTCTGTAATTCTACCTTTCAAATAAATAAATAATATCTTTTTTTAAAAAAATGGATAATTTGCTTAATAAAATAAATCTGTTCAACTGAAACCTTTACAAAATACAGTAACTGTAACACTTTAATAAAAATAAAAAAATTGGGGCCAGCGCTGTGGCGCAGCGGGTTAACACCCTGGCCTGAAGTGCTAGCATCCCATATGGGAACTGGTTTGAGACCCAGCTGCTCTACTTCCAATCCAGCTCTCTGCTATGGCCTGGGAAAGCAGTAGAAGACGGCCCAAGTCCTTGGTCCCTGCACCAGCGTGGAGACCCGGAAGAAGCTCCTGGCTCCTGGCTTCGGATCAGCGCAGCTCCAGCCATTGCGGTCAATTGAGGAGTGAACCAGCAGATGGAAGTCCTCTCTCTCTCTCTCTGCCTCTCCTCTCTCAGTGTAACTCTGACTTTCAAGTAAATAAATAAATCTTTTTTTTTTTTAAAAAAAGTGGCATTTGAGGACACTGAAAATGCTGTACACATTTACGAAGATAACATCACAGCTACTGATTACTGAACATTCACCATAAATAGACAACAACCAAGTTTTCCACATAGCTGCTACAGTGTATTTTTCATTCATGTATATAGAATATAGAAAGTTAAGACACAAAATATATAAAACATACCTCTGATAAAAATGTTTGGGCCGATTTCTGAGCTCCTACATGGAGCAGATATTCATATACATAGAGTGCTAACCTGGAAAACAATGAAACATCCGTTGAGAAAAGGCGTTACTTAAAATTCATTCTCTAAATCATACACTTATCTTTACAGGCAAAAATATTTTACACGCTAACAATGACAGAAATCAAACCCTCCCCATACCCTTTCAGTGGGAATTTATACAGGTATATTCAGAAAGAACTTAAACTGCTAAAAATAGTGCATAAAGGGGCCAGCACTGTGGTGTAGTAGGGTAAGCCTGCAATGTCAGCATCCGTTATGGGCATCCATTCAAGCCCTAGCTGCTCCACTTCTGGTACAGCTCCCTGTTAATGGCCTGAGAAAAACAGTGGGAGATGGGCTGAGTGTTTGAGCCCCTGCCACCCACGTGGGAGACCTGGAGGAGGCTCCCGGCTGGCTTAGCCCAACCCTGTCCATTGTGGCCATTTAGAGTGAACAGGCAGTTGGAAGATCTGTCTCTTGCTCTAATTATAATTATGCCTTTCAAATAAATAAAATAAGTCTTTTAAAAAATATATACACCAAGAAAACGATATATATATATGTATGTGTGTGTGTATATATATATATATATATATATATCTTCTTGGCAAAAAAAAAAATCTAAAGAGGGATTTTTTTCCTTGACTCATCTTACTTAGTCATAGCTTCATTCCCTTTGTTACACTTAATGCAGTTAATAATTTATAATCAATCACTGATGATCTCCAAGTCTATTTTAAGGATAATAATTATTTCCATCAATAGAAGAAGTAAATTAAGTTACTAGAACTCCCCTATACCTTTTTGTTCTTCAATGCTTTTGGTGAATATTAGTATAACTCCTATTTGTCTGTAGAATCACGCTCCAGAACTTGTACTGAACAGTGATTTTAGCATTTGTTCAGCAGCCTGTCTTATTATTTAGGTCAGACTGCTAAGTCAATTAACAGTTTAGTTTATAAAGCACTCAGTGAAGGAAACCACAGCACTCTGTGAACTTTAAAGATATCAGACCATATTAAGCACATGGGTGCTTACAGTATACAGGTTAAGACAAAATTATGCATCAATTTATCACTTGATATAAAATACTGAGTGTGCCGTATACACATAAAATGACTCTCATTATCTTGTGGATTAAGAATTTCTAAACCACACCATGTGGCTCAATTTCAGTTGAGCTGTTAACAAAATATTATTCATAAACCCAAATTAGTCTGAGGCAGTATTTTTAATGATACCTTGGACGCATGCCCAGATGGCTCACAACGGTTCAGTTCCTGCCACACTATATTTACCAATATTGAACCAGGTTTACAGTAAACAATACAATGTAACAATAACCACAGTTCTGTAGAGCTGTGCCACTTCTCTTGCCAAGAAAATTTTTGATGGGTAAAGATTGATGGCATTTGCGAAAGTGAGTATTTTCTTCATTTTTATGAAAACATACCACACATCTGTCATGAAAAGAGAAAGCCCGCAAAAACCCAGTTCCTCTGTCCATTTCATTCTTCCTCCCTTCCAAAATTGCCCAGCAGTCAGCAAGAAGACAATTCTGTAGCTACGAAACACCTTGAGAGTGGACATCAGAGTTGCAAGCAGATGAAGATATGTCACCGGGAGTGAGTCCCAGGCCAGTTCAAGGACACTCCCAGGCCAGGCTTCTTGACTCCTCCTACCCTGCCGCGCCTGGGGACCACAGGACGCTCCCCTCAGGTAGTGTCGCTGTGGAGGTGTGGCCCCGCCCTCAGTGTGTCCCAGGGCACAGGAACTGGAATGACCCTGCTGTGGTGCACCTCTCTACACGTTCTTCCAACACAAAGAGCTGACCTGCGCTTCCTCCAGCAACCGTTCCTGACCATCTCACAGCACCCACTGGCCAGGGAGGTAAGCTCCCGGGCAGGCTGTGCAGCCTCGCAAACCTGCCAGTGGCAGCCTAGCAGAGAAGAAACATAACCTTGGGTCATCCATCGCACCGGCTTCCACCGGGTGTGCCAGGCAAGACACTCAGGCCAATGCCAAAGGCTGAGCGGTGAGGAAGCTCCACCGTGCTGGGGAACAGAATGGTGAGGGGTTCCATGGTGAGACTGTGGGGAAGAGAACAGACCCCAGAACATTCATGGCCACAGCACAAGTGTGGCTAAGGCTACCTCCTTTCACACGCCCATCCCTCCAAATCCAGAGTTACTACCTTGGACTTGTAGTCTCTTCTCTGTGTACTAAGGGAGCTAACGCATGCCTTCTGTGTTACTAGAAGTAACATATCCTTGTTAAGTAACTAAGGATACCTCCTGAAGAGTGCAGTTAAAAGCAGTAATCTCCACTTTCTCTCTCCAGGGACCTAGGACAGTGCATCTAAAACGTGCACGGGACGTGGAGGAAGCACAGCTGAGCAGCTGCGGCACCTGGCAGGGCCCTGTGCCCCCCCCCCCATCACCTGGGAACCTGGGTTGAGAAAGGACCTGAAACACCACCTCCTCCCTCCACATTCCGCAGCCCCCTTTGAACGAGATGAGTGCTTCCTGCAAAGTGGGAACCTGTCCTCCATAAAGCACGGCACGGAGCAACGCCTCGGTGAACAAGAGTCCCCACACCGCAGTGTCGGCGCGCAGCACACGAGCAGCAGGTCTTGTACAGTCATCACCCCCTGCTCAGTGTTTCCCAGACCCATCCCTTCAGCCCTTTCCCTCCGTTCCAAGCTCCAAACCTGTATCTCCAAATTACTGTTTCAAGTTTCCAGCAAGATGCCGCTCTGAAACCAGCCATGCCCCGTTTTTACCACGTCCAAAGTTGAACTCACCACGTGCACCTGCTGTCCTGGAACCTACGCTCACCTTGAATGAAACACAATCCCTGAGACTCAATTTTCTCACCTGTCCAATGGGAAGAATAATACTTTGTGCTGTTGGAAAGAGCAGGAAGCACAGCAAAATGTAACCACTGTAGTTTCAATTCTGACTAACTTTCACACATCCAGTAACAAGTGACCAAGTCACATGCTGGAACTGAAGCCAGAATCTCTCCCACACCGGCCCTTCCCTCCCACTCCCTTCCTGCACCCGAGGAACCACTAGGAGCTACTGGTTCTAGTTTCAGACGCAGACACCGCTGTGTGTTTCCCATAGCAGCTGCCAAATACAAGAATGTCCAGAAAGTTCTGGCTGGAATGTCCTGCACCACAGATGATTCCAGATGTGGGGAGTGACACCTGTCCATCCACACAGGTGGGACCCAGCTCAGTCCCTAACCCACAGACATGGCATCACCAAACGTAAGAAGGCAACAGTCTGAGTTCAATATTAAAAGACAAATACTGAATATACAAATATTTATACAATGTATAATTTTTTTCATTTTTAATGACCTTTAAGAAGTTTAAGTACTTTTGATATGATACACAGTGTTTATTTAACCTAGTAATTTATAATGTAATCTAAATACACAGAAAAAAGTTAACAATCATGCAGTTAAGAGCTGGTTACAGAAGTAGACCCTAGGGGCCAGCGCTGTGGCACAGCATGTTAATGCTCTGGCCCGAAGCGCTGGCATACCATATGAGCGCCAGTTCTAGTCCCAGCTGCTCCTCTTCCGATCCAGCTCTCTGCTATGGCCTGGGATAGCAAGATGGCCCAAGTCCTTGGGCCCCTGCACCCACATGGCAGACCCAGAGGAAACTCCTGGCTCCTGGCTTCGAATCAGTGCAGCGCTGGCTGTTGCGGCCATCTGGGGAGTGAACCAGCGGATGGAAGACCTCTCTCTCTACCTCTCTCTGCAACTCTGTCTTTCAAATAAATAAATAAATAAATACTTTTTTAAAAAGTAGACCCAATCTCTTTTTTTAAACACTCACTGGGGCTGGCATTGTGGCTTACTGCATATGGCCGCTGCCTGCAATGCCAGCATCCCATATGGGTGCCACTGCATATCCTAACTGCTCCACTTTGGATCCAGCTCCCTGCTAACGGCCTGAGAAAAGCAGAGGAAGACAGTCCCACCACGTGGGAGACCCAGATAAAGCTCCTGGCTTCAGTAAGGCCCACCCCTGGCCATTGCAGCCATCTGGGGAGTGAACCAGTGGATGGAAGATCTGGATCTTTCTCTAACTCTGAATTTCAAGTAAATAAATAAATAATTCTTAAAAATTGATTAATTTAAAAAGCATATCCATGACTCATGGATCACACATCATATCTTCATTTATTCTAATTTTAAACTGGCTACTAGTGAGTGAGATACTAAAATCATGACTATTTTAAAGAAGGTGCCAAAGCCAGGAGTGTAAACTCCTATGTGGCTCCATGCCGCCTTCACTCCATGCTCACTAAAGGAACCTAAGCTCCAAGAGTCAGGGCAACAGCAGAGGTTAAAGCAGGAAGAATGCAGAGCAAAATCGAGGGCTGAGCCCACGTGGGCTGCCCTGCAAACAGCAATCCGCATCCCCACACACGTGCTGTGCACCTTGGTCATACACCTGCACACACACTGCCACACACAAAACCCCACAAGCATAGAGTTCCACCCGGAAAACCCCACCCATCTTCCCTGCGACTGGGTCAAATCTCCTTCAACCGGCCTCCAGAACTCAAAACATAATAATCTGGTAGTGAACAGGTCTACAGCTTAACCTTTTTAACCTGCTACAAACAGGAACGGCTGAGGGGTGGCACTTACTCTTTATTGTGCGTGTGAATCTAACAAAACCGAATGCTTTTTTTTAATTTAAAAATATACAATTGGAAGAGTTAAAATATATAAAATGAAAAATACATAAAATGCTAAGCAATGTTAAGTAGCTGACTATTCCACCCAAAATCTAATGAAATTAAAAAGTAACAAAGAACTAAGAAAGTAGGATATGCAGTCAATGAGGTGACAAAAGGCTAACGTGCTTGATATATAAGAAGCACAAAAAAATCACCTGCCAGAACTTAATTTTAAAATACTGAGCTGAGGATGAAAATAAAAAGTCAATAAGGAAAATGTTTACATACAGTGGCCGGCGCCACGGCTCACTAGGCTAATCCTCCATCTTGCGGCGCCGGCACACCGGGTTCTAGTCCCGGGCGGGGCACCGGATTCTGTCCGGGTTGCCTCTCTTCCAGGCCAGCTCTCTGCTGTGGCCAGGGAGTGCAGTGGAGGATGGCCCAAGTGCTTGGGCCCTGCACCCCATGGGAGACCAGGATAAGTACCTGGCTCCTGCCATAGGATTAGCGCGGTATGCCGGCCGCAGCGCGCTGGCCGCAGTGGCTATTGGAGGGTGAACCAACGGCAAAGGAAGACCTTTCTCTCTGTCTCTCTCTCTCACTGTCCACTCTGTCAAAAAAAAAAAAAAAAAAGAAAAAGAAAAGAAAAGAAAAAGAAAATGTTTACATACAGCAAGTGACCCTACGGAAGAATATTCAACTGCCCAGTGTAAGAAATATTTCAAAATAGCGGACTTTCAAAAATTGAAGCACTCCAGGTTCCCATGGTGCACTGTGGAAGTGGTACAGGTCTCCCAGGACCGCAGACTGCAGGTGACCGGTGGGTGGGGAAGGGTAGAACAGCCTGCGTCATCTGCCCCCACTGGACAGCGTGCACATACTGCCAGAGAGGCTGTGTCACACAGCCCCGGAGTGACGAGTGCCACCTTCATGCTTCCCATGCTCGTGGGATCACCGGAGCTCCAACACGACATTTTGTCACAAGACTATTCCCCTAGGGACTGAGGGCCTTGGAGTGAGAGAAGGCTTCTTCACTGTAAATTTTTCTTCAGTCCCGTTATTTCCCCTAGACTTACACTACTTATTTAAATACAAATAAATCAGCAAATAGGAAAGGGAAGCTTTTAATATACTTTGACCCACTAATTTTTATCCTAATATATTCTACAGAACACGCAGAAATCAGTTTCTATGTAACGATGCTTATGGCAAAATTACAGCAGTGAAAACTGGCCGCCTAGATGTCTGGTTGTGATCTATGTATGTGATGGCAAACTACTAGATACTTCCTAAAACATTTAATGAAATGAAGAAGTGCTCATAATTTATTGTTAAAATTAAAAATTCCCCAAACAGAGGCAGGTGGTCGGCGCAGTGGCTGAGGTCACGGCACGCCCATACCCCTGGCCCAGCACTGGTGATTCGGGCACTTAGGGAGTGAACCCACATGTGGAAGATCAATCCATCACTCTTTCTCTCTCTGCCTTTAAATTTAAAAAAGAAAGAAAGAGACAGTAACAAAAAGAAGAAGTGACAGATGTAGAAAAACTAGGATGGGTGGGGCAGAAAAATGACGCAAAGCAGTAATACCAGTAGGCCTACGTAGAGAACGGGCAAATGTCGCTGTGTGTCCTGGGACAAGCCTGACCTCTGACAGTCAGAAAGGGAGACGGTGCCCACAGTGATTCAACTTTGTGCCACTCACACTAAACAAAAATCTAACATATTTGGCTGCATAAGAATATGAACCCTGATTTATGTTTTGCATTTTTTTCCTGGTGTCTTGTCTGGTTTACTTTTGGTTACTTTTAAGGACAGGACCCTTGAGGGATTTAGATTTTTTTAAAAGTTATTTTGTGAAAGTCAAATCACAACTTTATTTTTCTAGTTTTTCCACTGATGCATAACAATCATATTGCTATATGTCTTGTATTTAACAAGATCCTCTGATACACATACACTGTTGAATGGCTAAATCAAGCTAATTAATGCACCTATTACCTCACATACTTATCCATTTGCTTTTCTGGTGAGAACACTAAAAAGCTACCCTCTTAGCAATTCCCAGGTATACAACACACTATTAAGTACAACACCAGGCTGACTGGACTTACTCTTGTCCAACTGAACTTGCGTCTCTCTGGACCGACATCCCCCAACCCTCTGCATCCCCGGGCCCTGGTAACCACCACCCCACTTGCGGCTACTACGAGTCATGTGAGTGAGAACACGCAGCAGCTGTGGTTCTGCGCCTCGCTTATTTAACATAATGCCCTCCAGATTCAACCGTTTTGTCACACGCAACAGGATATCCTTCTTCTTCAAGGCTGCACAGGGTACACTGTGTATTTACCCACATTTTCTTAATGGGTTCATCCACTGGTAGACATTTGGGTTGATTCCTTATTTTGGTATTGTGAACAGTGCTGTAACGAACATGGGATTTACACACTTCAACCAAAGACTGATTTCATTTCCTTTACATACACACGATACATATCTCGTCACAGAACTGCTGACTCACAGGAGTTTTATTGTTAATTTTTTGAGGACTCTCATACTGGTTTCCATGTCTGTACTAATTTACATGCTCACCGATAGGATACAAGGGTTCCCTTAATTCCACATTCATGCCGGCACTTGTCACTCCATGTCTCTTCCTAGTAGCCACTCTAACTGGTGTGAAGTGATACCTTATCATGCTTTTAATTTATATTTCTCTGATGACTAGTGATGTTGAGCATTTTTTCACGGACCTGTTAGCCATCTGATGTCTTCCGATGAGAAATGTGTATTTATGTCTATTGTCTATTTATTTAATTAGGTTGCTTTCTTCCTTGTGGGTTGAATTCCTAATATACTTAGAACACTAATTCCTCACCAGGTGCTTGGTTGTAAATATGTTCTCCCGTTCTGTGGGTGATCTTTTCTCTCTGTTGGTTGTTTCCTTTGCTGAACAGAAGCTTTTTGGTCTGATGTAATCCCATGTGTCTATTTTTGCTTGTGTCGCCTGTGCTTCTGGAGTCACATCCATGAAGCGTTGCTAAAACTAACACCATGGATGGGCTGGGCGTCTGGCTCAGTGGCTGGTCACTGCTTGGGGTACCTGCATCCCGCATCAGAGCACCTAGCGAGAGCCCTGGCTACTTCATTTCTGATGTGGCTCCTCCTAATGTATGCCCTGGGAGGCAGCCGATGATGGCTCAAACAAACACTTGGGTTCCTGTCATCCATGTGCGGGACCCAGACTTGAGTTCTGGGCTCCTGGCTTTGGCTTCTGGCTGTTGCAGGCATATGGGTAATGAACTAGCAGATGGAAGGTCTCTGTGTCTCTGCCTTTCAAATAAAATGAAAATAAAGAACTTTTTTAAAAACTAAGGTCACAACAGTCTTTCAGTCTTTCCCCATGATTTCTTCTAGTAGTTCCACAATCTCAAGTCTTACATTTAAAATTTTTCAATAGATTTTTTTTTTTTTTTTTGACAGGCAGAGTGGACAGTGAGAGAAAGAGACAGAGAAAGGTCTTCCTTTGCCGTTGGGTCACCCTCCAATGGCTGCCACGGCCGGCGCACTGCGCTGATCCGATGGCAGGAGCCAGGTACTTCTCCTGGTCTCCCATGGGGTGCAGGGCCCAAGCACTTGGGCCATCCTCCACTGCACTCCCTGGCCACAGCAGAGAGCTGGCCTGGAAGAGGGGCAACCGGGACAGAATCCAGCGCCCCGACCAGGACTAGAAGCCGGTGTGCCGGCGCCGCAAGGCAGAGGATTAGCTTAGTGAGCTGTGGCGCCAGCCTAATTTTTCAATAGATTTCTATTTTTATTTGAGAGGCAGAGGCAGGAAGGGAGGGAGGGAGGGAGGGAGGGAGGGAGGGAAAGAAGTCATTCACCCACTGGTTCACTTCCCAAATGGCCGCAACGGCTGGAGCTGTGCTGATCCGAAGCCAGGAGCCAGGAGCTTCTTCCTAGTCTCCCACATGAGTGCAGGGGCCCAAGGACTTGGGCCATCTTCTGCTGCTCTCCCAGGCCATAGCAGAGAGCTGGGTTGGAAGTGGAGCATCCGGGACTTGAACTAGCGCTCGCATGGGATGCCGGCGCTGCAGGCGAATGCTCTACCTACCCTGCCACAGCGCTGGCCCCACACTTAAACGTGCAGTCTGTGTTTCTGTAGAGTGAGAGGAGGCTCTCATTTCATTCTCCAGCCGTGCATATCCAGCTTTCACAGCACCATCATTGAAGAGACCGCCCTTCCCCCTTCGTGTGTTCCGGCATCTCTGCTGAAAATCAACTGTAAATGCGCACGTCCACTTCGGGGCCGCTTTGCTCTGTTTGTCTATGTATCTATTTTTATGTCATTATCATGCTGTTTTGGTTACTACTGCTTTGTAGAGTGGTTTTTTTTTTTTTTTTTAAGATTTATTTATTTATTTGAAAGGCAGAGTTACAGAGAGGCAGGGGCAGAGAGAAAGGTCTTCCATCCACTGGTTCACTCCCCAAACAGCCACTACACCCGGGGCTGTGCTGATCCAAAGCCAGAAGCCAGGAGCTTCTTCCTGGTCTCCCACATGGGTGCAGGGGCCCAAGTACTTGGGCCATCTTCTACTGCTTTCCCAGGCCATAGCAGAGACTGGATTGGAAATGGAGCAGGCGGGACTCAATCCAGTGCCCATATGGGATGCCGGCACCACAGGTGGCAGCTTTACCGGCTGTGCCACGGCACTGGCCCCTTGCAGGGTGCTTTGAGTCAGGTACTTTGAGATCTCTGGTTTTGTTCTTCTTGCTCAAGATTACTTAGGCTATTCAGGGCCTTTAGTGGTTCTGTAAGAATTTTAGGGCTATTTCTTTGAAAAAACATAATTGTAATTTTGATAGGGATTACAATAAATCACTTTGGACAGTATATGAGGACACTTCCAAGAGCTGTGGGAAAGGATAAGCTTATTTTGGTACAGAAAAACTTTAAAATCCATGCATGGTTTTTTCATAGCACCCATTTTCCATAAACTTTTTAAGGATCCCTTGTTGATATTTTAACAATACTAATTTTCCCAATTCATGAAAACAGGTATCTTTCCACTCACTTGGGTCTTATTGAATTTCTTTCACCAATGTTTCATAATTAAAAATCCAAGATATTTAGCTACATAAAAATAATAAACCTAATATATTTTATTTTCCCCAGTTTGTTAAATGAGTTACTTTAGGTGAAGTTCTTGGTTTCTGTGTGTGTGTGTGTGTGTGTAGGTGTGTGTTTTGTTTTTGTTTTTGTTTTTGGTGATGGATGTTACCCTGCAATTTTTTTTAATCTGTAAATAAACACATAACTAACATCTTTAAAAATATCAAGTCCTTATCAATAAGTGGGCAGAGACTAAGAAACTTCACAACTTAATTTTAAATTATGGAAAGTGTTAAACATCACTGATGACTGAAGAAATATGTATTAAAATAATAATAAGATTTCAATTCCCACTTAAATACATTATACCTGATGAAATGGATACACAAACACTGTTCAAGGCAGT